TAGCAAATCAATGGATAAAGAGAACATACATATTATATATATAACATATAGAGAATAATGTTCACAACCAAATAGGACTAATTCTAGGAATATAAGGTGGGTGTGACATTCAAAAATCAATAAATGTAACTTACCATAGTAATAGAATACAGGAGAAAAACCATATGATCATCTTAATAGAAGCAGAAAAAAGCATCTTACAAAATTCAAGTTATGTATTATGAAAACTTTCAGCAAACAGGAATAGAAATCAACTTCTTCAATCTGAAAAAGCATATACATGAAAAAACTTGCAGCTAACCTAATATTTACTGGTGGAATACTAAATACTTTCCCTTAACATCAGGGAGAAGACAAGGATATCTGTTTTCTCCACTCCTGTTGAACACTGTTCTGAAGTTTCTAGCATGTGAATCAAAGTAAGAAAACAAAAAAGGCAAAAAAAATTAGAAAGGTCTGTATTTCCAGATGGCATAACTATTTACAAAGAAAATTTTAGGGATTCCACAAAATGAGTACAAGATCTAGTGAATGATTTTAGCAAGTTTGCAAGGCCTACGATCAAAACACACAAGCCAATTTTATTTCCATATACTAGCAGCAAATAACTGGAAAATAAAAAACATCATTTTCAATAGCATCAAACAAAATATTTAGTAATAAACTTAATAGAAGTCATACAAAACTTTGCACTTAACACTATAAAACAATGCTCAGAGAAACTAAAGACCTGAATCAATGGATATACTATGTTCATGGATTGGAATACTCAATATTTATAGGATGGCAACTGTCCCCAAAGTATTGTATAAATTCCACAAAAATGCAAATCAAAATTCCAATTTTTTAAAAAGAAATTAAGTTGATTTGAAAATCTACATGGATGTAAAGGACCTAGAAGAGCTACAAGAGTATTTTTAAATAACAAAATTAAGACTTAGACTACATGATTTCAAAATTCACTGTTAAAGCTACAGTAATCAAGACAGCGTAAGAGTGGAATGAAAGTAGCCAGATCAATAGGACAGAATAGTGTCCAGAAAAAGACTCAGACATATTAGTCCCCTTGATTTTTTTTTCTACTACAAAGATGCCAAGGTAATTCAATGGAAAAAGTAAATCTTTTCAATTAATGGTGCTAAAGCAAATTAAATTAAGCACTACAAAAATTAATTTCCATCCCTTTTTCACACCAGATAAAAAAATTAATCTGGGATGGAACAAAGACTAAGTATAAAAGCTAAAACTATAAAACTTCCTGAATGAAACAAGAAACTATCACCCTAACCTCAGAGTAGGTAAAGGCAGAGATAATCTTAGGACAAAAAAAAGCACAGCCATAAATGAAAAAATTGATAAACTGATGTTCATCAAAATGGAAAACCTTCTCAAAAGACACGATTAGGAAAATGAAAAGGCTACAGACCAGGATAAATAATCTCAATACATGTTATCTGACAAAGGATGTGGACCCTAAATATGTAAGAACTCTTATAAATCAACTATAAGACAGACAACCCGATATAAAAATGTGTCAGAGAATTGAGCAGCCATTTCAAAAAGAAGATCATTAAATGGCCAATAAGCACATTAACAGGTGAGCAACATGTTTATTCCACATATTGGTGGCACTACAGCAATGGGCAGGCAGAAGGACTCTGGAGAAGGACGGCTGACAGGGCAGTGCAGAGGTGAGAGCAAAGGTCCCAAAGGTGGCCCAAAGGCAGGATCCAGTCTGTGGACAGGTTTTGTTTGACCCATACTGTATAACAAAAAACCTTGAGCCTATATTTAATGGGATATTTCACATGAAAATCCAGATTTCCAGCTTCTCATTAAAAATGGTGAGCTCCAGCTATGCCAGCTCTGCTTCCCCACACATGGCTGAGGCGAGCAGTGGCTCTCTGGCGCCCCGAGGTCTCCATCACTTACACAGGGCATAGAAATGCAATTCTTTTGTGTGTGGTCTTCTTCTACCTGGCCCCTGCTCCCGAAAGGGCACCTAAGTCTGTCAGCCAGATCTAGAACCTGCATATCTGAAAGACTCTAGAAGGCACTGGATATAGAAAGAAAAGGTGTGGGATGTGATGGTGGCCTCCAGGTCTTTATAAACTGGTTTTTATAGGATGAACACCCACACTTGGAACTGCTCCAGGAGCTAGCATTCAGGCCACCAGGGAATAGTTCCAGAGGCTGATGACTGGTGGTACCAAGAGAAAAAGGCAGCATTTCTTAGAGGGGTCTGGTTGGCTACAGCGGAGCTGCCCAGGAGGAGAAATGTGCTCTCTTAAACTGAGGTACATCTGTCCCACATTGGTGAGGAAGTGGGCCCACATCCCTCTCACCCCTTCCTTTGCTGGACTCTGATTTCTGACCTCTGCAGGTTGCTACTCCAATTGAAAAGGTCACCAATTCAAGGTCAATCACAATCACCATCCCTGGTCAGCCCCATGCATTCAGGCACAAATGGACCCCAAGAGGAACTGCAAATGTTTCAAACAGGAGACCCCTTGATGACAGGTAACTTACTAAACCTCTGAGAAACGCCTGGGCTATCTGTACAAGCCTTGTGCCCTTGCACAGCTCTTAGGATCCAGAGTCCAAGCTGCTCTCCACATAGACACCCCGCTTAAACTACAGCAATGGGGCAGAACACTTCCCTCGGACACTTCTGGTAGCGAGGTAAACACTGGCACCTGAGAAGTGTAATGCACATGCCTCCCCTCCAGTCCCCCCACCAGCAGACCACCATAACCGGTGCCACTTCCCAAAGCCAGAGGCCCTGGCATGCCCTAGTCCAGGGCCAAGTGGCAAATTCCTGATCCCTGCCCCATGCCTGGCCTTATGCTCTCCCACAGATGAGCCACCTTGGTGACAACCCCAATTTGCTGTCCACTGATTTGCAGATTGCTGGAAATAACAGCCAGAACTCAGTTTTTTGCTTCAGAGTGTATGATTTATGCCTGCATATACACATTCTTTCTCCCTCAGGTCTAGGACACAGTGACAAGGGCCGTATGCAGAGTTAGCAGACCCAGAGTCAAGTGCTCGCTGGCACCTCTATGACCTTGAGCAAAACATCATTCATCGGAGCCCTGCTTTTTGCTTTTTGCCTTTGGAATATCTTCTGCCAAAGCCACCTCCCAGGGGTCCTGTGAAAATGTTTTACAAACCAAAAGCCACTTCCCCAAAGTAAATGAGAAAAGCACCTGCCCATAAATTTATGCTCTAAGACAAGAAACAGAAAAGGTAAGCTGAAAATCCAGAGCAACAGCGACACCGTCACCAGAAGACCAACTAAGTGAATGAAGGCACACTGTACTGTCATGACAGCAGTGGTGCGGAGCGCAGACCGTCTTTTGTCATGTGGGAGTATCTTCCAACACAGACTTCTTATGGGGAAAGAAAACAAGGCACAAAACAACGTGTGTATTATGGAATTGTTAACATAAAGAATAAAGGGAGTAGGAAGCAAGTGTGGATATGCTTCAATGTGCATAGAGTATTTCTGGAAAGAAACCAGAAATGGTAACGGGTGGGAAACATTCTTTACATCTTTTGTATAGTTTGGATTTTTTCCCTTATTATTACCTATTTTTTTAACAATTAAATTAAGTTAAATGCTGTAGTCACTGAACCCCCATTGAGCTGTAACCCAGGAGGGCACCCATCCCCACCAGCCCCTGGATGCCTCCGGCCTGTGGGCTGACTTTCCCAGAGAGAGAATCCCCAGCCTCACCCTGGTCAGGCCAGCCCCCAGGGTTTTCTCTAACTGCAGCCCTCATGTCACTGCTTCCTCCTCCTGTCCACAGGTGGCTTGCTTTCCAGGCAATAACTTAGTGCATGCTGAGGCCTGAGGAAGCCAAGGCTTGTGGGAAGAGAGGGGCAGCTGTCGAGTGGGTTCTGCCTGGTCCCAGCCTCCTCAAGCCATTTGTCAGTCTGTCATACTGGGACCCAGGCTTCCGGCGGCTCCCAGATCCCGTTCCCCATCCCCCTACTTCCTCATACTGGGCAGTGCCTGCGGTCGGCCTTTCCAGGGTGGCCCTGGGCAGCAGCGGTCGCACAGGCCAACAGACCCCTCTCATCTGCAGCACCAGGAACTTCCTCTGACTTCACCTTCTCAGCCAAGAAGGACCACCAATTCATGCTCCAGAGTAAGAAGGGACATGTCACCACTTTATCTGCCAAATTAGCTCTCAGGGTTCACTCCTTGAAATGTCTGCATGAACAGCAACCTTCCTGTTGCCACAGATCAAGGGCTCAGGAGCCTGTGGGTAACCACAGTCAAAAACAACCCCTGGGTATGGATTCACAATCTAGTGTAAGAGGTACAGGTGTATGGAGGCTGAACAAACAAGTGGACCTGGGTGGCTGGAGTCAGACCTGTCACTGTGGGAGGGGAAGGTTACAGGCAAGCAAGGAGGGAAGGCTGGAATGAACCATGTCTACTCACAAGAGTCAAGAGAATCAGTATGAAATGGTGTGCAGCTTGATGGAGATGCAGACAGACAGACACACCTGTGTCCATGATTATAGAGATGCATGTACAGGTCAGTATACGACATGTATCTCCTCGCTCTGTCTCCTCAAAGCAATGACACCCCAGTGGCAATACACATGCCAGCTGCAGATGGTGGTTGCTGCCACCATTGTCCAACAGAAGAAGCAGCACTCCTTGGAGTAATGGCTGGTCCCTGCGCTGGGGCACGGATAGCACAAGCTGAGCCTGGCCTACCTTGTGGTGCCAGAAAGTAAGGAAGTGCCCCAAAGGCAAAAGGATTGGGGCACATCTAGGGGACATGGGAGCCAGCCTGGAAGAGCTGCCAGTGGCCAGGGCTGGGGCAGTGTGAGTAGGCACCAAACAGGTAACTAGTGTGTATGCAAGCAAAGAGTGCAAAAATGCCATAGGAATGTTCAGCAAGAACGTGTAAATGAGCTGCAGTCGAGTCATAACGGAACATCACACAGCAGAAAAATTCGTGAACTAAAACCATACATACCAGCAAGGACAGAGTTCGCCATCGTAATGTTGAGTTAAAAGGGCAAGCCTGGAGTGGGAAATACACAGGATCTTACCATTTAGACATAGCTTTAAAACATATAAAACAATGTTACATATTATTTATGAAGACAAACATATGTGGGAAAAGTATATCAAATTCCAGTCAGCAAAAAGTATAATGGCAGAACTAACTGATGAGTTCATGGATATTATCAAGTACCCTTTTCAAATATACTCAGAAATTTTAGGTGTACTGGCTAGGCTAATGGGAAGTACATGACAGTAGAGGTAACACGCAGCAGTATGGCATGGATGTGGGAATGTCAGGAAAGGGTTGGGGGACTGGCGTGTGCGGGGCGCTTTCCAGGACAGGTGAGCCGCCCTGAGCCTGGCAGGCACTGGCGGAAGGCACTGTGCCGGGGTGGCTGGGCCGGGGTCCACGCTGCTGAGGAGGGAATTAATTTACCGCCAAACTTTTGAGAACATGCTGCAGATCAGGAGAGAGTGGTAAAATAAACCTGTGGGGTAGGGAGAGGGTAGAACTCAATGAGACAACCCTGCAGGTAGGACAGCGGAGTGGACGTGATGTGCCCAAGGCAGGAGTGAAAGGACACGCCAGCATCCAAGGACACTGCCAGTCCTCTCACATACCTTGTCCCCTTTGCCCGGCCACTGCATGTCACAACTCTGCAAAAAGCAAGGCCTCTCCTTTTCCTAAACTCTCCAGCTGATACCACCCTGCCCCACAAGTTCAGTGACAGGCAATCAAGGATGGTGCCCACTCTGGACACCATTGTCCCCCGTGGATATCTCTCAGGCACCACAGCCACCACAGTGCACCTTTTTGCCCCACATCTGGTTGTCCTGCACCTCTGGCATCATGCCCATCTTGTCACACAATCCAGAAACCCAGGAGTCACTATCACCCCTCCCTCATCCCCTTGCCCCATCCCCAGGGCATCACAAAGCCCTATTGTAAGCTAGGGATATGTCAAAGCCAGCCTGTGCTCTCTCCCAGCACCTCCCCAAAACAAGCCTTCATCGTCCCCCGCCTGGGCCCAGCCGGCTCCCACACACCTGCTCTGCACCCCTCCACTCAGACCTCTACAGGGCCAGGGAGCTTACACCGCGACCCTCCCCTGCCATTTGAAACCCTGCAGTGTGCCCCTTGCTGTCGGGGTAAAGCCAACAGGAAGACGGCTCCCCCTTCACCGAGCAACTTTACGAGTGCCCAGAAGCCCACTCAGACCTTCTGCTCGCATCTGGCCTCTGTGAGGCACCCTGTAACAGGGAGGGAGCCCTGGCAGCCTGCAGAGCCAGGACCCTGCCCACTGCGCAGGTGGCCACATCCCTGCAGGGCCTGCCTGCAGGGAGCTATTTAGAAGCACACCCAGACATGCACTTTGATAGCTCCAATCCTGTAACAGAAACTGGTTCATCAAAATGAGCTGAGTCATCAGGAAAAGATGAAATTATGTACAGTATTCTAGGAAGAACTGTGTAGTTCGAGGAAAGAGCAGAGTATAAAATACATTTCAGAAAGATCCCCAAACTCAGATAAAACATAATCACTTTTGTGCTTTACAGTCTCAGGGCTGCATGATCTCTGTTGACTGAAAAGGAGCTGTGCCCAGGTTGTAGGGGTGGTGAGGGATGGGGGACATGCAATATGAAATATGTAATATAAAATCAGTCCGTGCATTCACAACAGCTGTCCCGAGGTACCCTGCTTTGCTTCTTTCTAGTGGGTGGACTACAGGTCATTTTTACAGCCTTTTCAACAATTTTGAATTTTTAATGATAAGCATTTATTTATTTACTTATTTATTTATATTAATCTGAAGAAAATGTTAAAATATGAGTCTCCTCTCTTCCAACTTGCGGAAATGAAGCTTTCCCCAAATCCCCCAGCAAGGGCACCTTTGCTGATCTGAGGCTGGAAATGGAACGGGGGCTCCTGCAGGCCAGGGGTGAGGGCAGCATCACATACATGTCACCAGCCCACGACACCCAGCTCTCCTGGGTACAGAGAACCCATGAGCAACAGGGCCCTGGCCTGGCACCCAAGCCCTGGGGATCCCAGCATTCGTGCAGAGCTTTTGGGAAGGGGCGCTGAACAAGAACTCAAAGAATGCCAACCCCAGAGCTGCCTGCAGCTCCCGCCAGGAGAGTCTGCCTGAGGATGAAGCCACGTGCAGCAGAGCTCAGCCAGGAAATGGAATGAGGCTGAGTCCTAACAGGCTTCAAACCTTCAATCTAGTGTTTAAAGAAGGAACAGCCTGACATGTCAGTTATGCTAACAAATAAATTCTCTTTCATTGCATATGCTCACCTGAGCTGGTCTCCATCACCAGTAATCAAACACCAACAAGCTAACATACCCACCCTCTGGGCACAGTACCCTTTCAGGGAAGTGCTGAGCTGGACCCCCAAGCTGTCAGTGTGGAACAGAGGCATGCCTCCCTCATGTGTGCCTCCCAGGTAGAGCAAAGCCCGGAGGCAAGGAAAGGCTAGGAGAGCAGCTCAAGAGGGCTTTCTGAGCAGCCCTGTGCTCACACAAGTCCCAATGGAAAGAGGTGCACTTTCAGAAGAAATTCACTGCAGGTCTTCTGGCAGGAAGCACCCAAATGCATCCACAAGGAGGCCACTCACTTACGGGAACCACGTGTGCAGAGCCTGTATTCCATTCCCTCCTCCTTGCTGACTGCACACAGCCTTGGTTGCTTCCAGAGCTGTCAGCCACATCTGACACGGACTCTTCACAGCGGGCCTGTGCGGTGGGTTGAGTGGCCCCAGGACACCTCGGCCTAGGGCAGCAGGTCCACAGACAGCCATGGCAGAGTCAAGTTTCCACTCAAACCCGCCTAATCCCAAAGCTCCATCAAACCTACCAGGTTGCCCTTCCCATAAGGTAACAGCCCCTATAGTCTCGGCCCACCTGAAATCCTGCCACTGCTAGCACCCAAAGGATGGAAATCTCCAAGCTGCAAGGCCCCAGTGAATGAGGCAGATGCCCAGACCCCGCTCATCAGCCATGAAAGTCCTAGGGCTGTGGACGATCCCCCACAGATCCTGAGTGTGCATGTGTGCGCGTACCCTGGCCAGCAGCTCAAGCGCGTGTCAACATGTAGGTCTGCTTTCAATTGTGCTGGAACAATTCTACCTGATAAACAAAAACAGATCCAAAATAACCTTTGGCAGGCAGCATATTTTTAAAAGAAAGAGAAGGTCCGAATGAACTGGCAAGAGTAATGCTTAAGCAAACAAAGTTGGTCAAGCCAAACATCCATGATGCACATCAAAAAGCCGCTCAAAGGGCTCCCTGTGAACCAAGGCCGGCAGCCGGGAAGGAGGCTGGAGCTGATGCACTCTGGCCTGGAACGGGACAGGCCACCCACTTCCTGCCACTGGTTGCTGGCATTTCATTTAGGTCATAGGATCAGACCATGAGTTGGGGCCAGGAGGCCAGAACTCTGCTCACAACAGTAGAGGGTAGAGCCCCCTCCTTCCCCTCCAGACAGCTCCCTCCAATGGGCTCTGCTGGGCAGGTGACAGCGGGGACAAATGGGCAGCCCAGGGCTCTGTGCTGTGGGAAAGTGTCAGAGTCCCCACTCAGTGAAGTGGCCAAATTCCCAGGATGTTTCTTGTCAGGAATCCATTCAGGGCCCAGGGCCAAGGGAGAACCAGGTCTGCAACTGCCTGCTCTGGACCCCAAGGCCACTACCAACTCAGTGGAACTCACTGCCTTCCCACCCCACCCTGAGCTACAAACACAATGCTGAGGATCACAGGGCTGGAGTCGCTGGCCCAGGGCCCAACAGCAAATGATGAAGCACCAGGCCCAGGAGGGATCACCCAATCACCTCTCACATAGGCTCTTACCTGTCCCTCAACAGTTTCACAAGTCAGGCCACTAGGTGCTCAGTGGGTAGAGAGCTCCATGTCATTAATCAAAAGTGGGGCTCCAGGGGGCACACTGACCCTTGACTGTGAGCCACCAGCTCTGTTCTTCCCGGCCCCTTCAGGAAGATGCAGACCCAACCCCAAGCAGTCCTCTCTATTCTGATGTTTCCAGTGAAAATGCTCTGAGAACTTCCTCTGGGCAGGGCCAAACCCTTCCACCCTCTGCCTCCCTGAGGTTCTAAAATCTCCGAAAGGCCTGTCTGCTCACTGTCTCCCTCTCCCCCCACCCACTGCCAAAACACAGCTTCCACCTGTCCAAAAGGTACCTTTCTAGGACACTGCTTTTACCAGAACAGGCTGGAGTAGGCCACAGAATCCAGGCCTTGTCACACCAGACCCCTCCTCTCTCAAGGCCCCACAGGTTCAGCTAAGACTGGGCACGACCCAGGAGGTCTGCAGAGCCCAAGGCTCTGCCTCATTCACTGGGGCCTTGCAGCTTGGAGATTTCCATCCTTTGGGTGCTAGCAGCTGGCAGGGGCAAGGGCACTGGCTCTCCCAAGGCCTTCACACACTGAAGAAAGGTGGGACACAGAGAGTTCAGACCAGGGACGGCTCCAGGATGCTGCAGACTGTGACAGGCTCACAGAAGTGGCACACAGGCCAGGTGGCAACTGTGCCCATTTTGAAGTCAGATCTACGTCCAAAACACCTGAGCCTGGACAAATGAATTAACTAACTGCTCTGGTTTTTTGCTTTTCCCTGTTAATGGGATTGTAGATGCACTGTACATGGGGTTGTGGAGAAGCGAGAGGAAGAGCCTGTCGTGGTGCCAGCAGAGATAAGGCTTTTGAAAAGTGCAATTTCATTGGTGTTACCGCTGCCCAAATGCCAGTGTGCAGGCCGTGTGGGTGAATGGAGGCAGCGCATCCGGTCTTCCAGGAATAGAGTCAGGACAGACAGCAGCCTGGGTCAAAGGGACACAAGTATTGTATATACCCGAAGATCAGGAGGCAATGGGGAAGCGAGAAAAAAAGATCAGCAAACAAGGCCTTTTGTGCATCTCCAAGAGAGGAGTGTGGGGAGAGGGCTGAGGAGGGGGAAAAGGGGGCTGAAGTCTGAGCGGTGAGTGAAAACAGCTGGTAA